GGGGACCGGGCGGGAGCCGGGCGCTCCGCACAGCCGCGCAGCAGCGAGCAGGGCGGGTGAGCGGGCGGGAGAGGAGCAGCGAGAGCCCGGACACGGCGGGGGTGCAGCGCACGGCCCTGCACGCGGCGGCGGACCCAGGTGTCACACGGGACCGTGCGCCCAAAACACGGTCGCAAGAGAGATGGAGTTGGTAATATGGGATTATGACCGAACACTATGGGACTACTCCAACATGGGATTATTGTTGAGTAATGCGGGATTAGTGTTGAATAATATGGTTTCTTGGAATATGGACTTCTTTTTGAATACTTTGGGATTATTCCGACATGGGATTATTGTTGAACAATTTGGGATTATTCAAATTTGAGATTATTATTGAATAACATGGGATTCTTGTAACATAGGATTCTTATTGAATAATATGGGGTTATTCAAACATGGGATTATTGTTGAACAATCTGGGATTATTCCAAGATGGGATTCCCATTGAATAATATGGGATTCTTATAATATGGGATTTATATTGAATAATATGGGATTATTGTTGACCAATCTGGAATTATTGTTGAACAATCTGGGATTATTCAAATATGGGAGTATTCATGAATAATATGGGATTTCTTACAATATGGGATTCTTATTGAATAATATGGGGTTATTCAAACATGGGATGATTGCTGAACAATGTGGGATGATTGTTGAACAATCTGGATTATTCAAATATGGGATTATTGTTGAATAATGTGGGATTATTCAAATGTGGAATTGTTATTGAATAATGTGGGATTATTTAAATGGTATTATTGTTGAATAAAATGGGATTGTGGAATTACTCTTGAATAATATGGGATTATTCATAGATTGTAAGGGGCTGGAAGGGATCTCACAAAATCATCTGGTCCAGCCCCCTGCACCAGGCAGGGAAGACAACTGGGGCTCGGGTGACCCCAGCAAGGTGACGGTCCAGTCTCCTCTTGCAGATCGTATTGCATAATATGGAATTATTCAAACATGGCATTATTACTAAATACTATGGAATTATTATTGCCCAATATGGAATTGTTCATGGGTGTCAGGGGCTGGAAGGGACCTCACAAGATCATCAGGTCCAGCCCCCCTGCACTACTTGGGAAAGACAACTGGGGGTCAGATGTCCCCAGCAAAGGGACTGTCCAGTCTCCTCTTGAAGATTTTATGTAATAATATGGAATTATTCAAAGATGGAATTATTATTGTGCAATATGGAATCATCAAGACGCATTTCTAGTGCCCAGTAAGGAAAGGGGGTTTATTGGAGACCTTCAGTGCAGGCGGCACGGCCAGACCCTGCTCCCAATGGGAACCACCCTAAGACCCTGGACTCGATGTGGGCAGGTTTTGCTTTAGTACACCTTGTTGTCAGTTTAATCATTTGAGTTTGTTTAGTTATTTCTGCCAGGCACTCTCCTTTTCACTTGATTTTGGCCAATTTTTAACCTAGTAGATAATCCTGTCAATCTACAACGATGCCAGAAACAGTATATCATGAACCATACCGGGATCCACCCACGTCTTCCTCGATGGGAACTATAATAAAGGCTGAAAATCAAGTTTTGTTATTTGGGTCAACGCCAGTTCTTTCATGTCAGTCATTTAAACCTGCATTAGTAATAATCGGCGCTACAGGGATTACTTGGGGCCATCAGAGTCTGTAAAGGTGAATCACACTGTTTACGTCTGGCAGTGCAGTCTTGGAAGGGGGAAACACCCGGTTTAGGTCAAATAAAAAGCAAGAGCGAGGCAAAAAGGTGAAGAGGGTGGCATAGCGTCCATTGTTAAGTGTTATTTCTTTCCTCCCACGGCTCAGGAATGGCAGACAGCGCTCACTGGAAGCACTGGGGCGGTGGCGCTCGC